GGTGTGGCTCAGGTCAGTGAGCCTCAGGACCAGCTGGCTCAGGGGCTCTGTTTTGGGCTCAGCTCTTGGCTCAACAGGGCTTTGTGGTGGGTGGAATTTTGGTCGCTGTTTTTTAGGTGTAGCCAATACTTTAATATTCTTTTCTGGATGTTTATCAATAGTGGGTACTGGCCTAATTCGGCTCTGCACCCGTTGTTAGGTGTTTTTCTCTGCACACGGAGGATGATTCTACAGATCTCCATGTGTACAGTTTCTGTGGGGTGTTTGTCCCATTGGCTGTAATCCTGGTCTGTGAGGGGACCCCACACTTCACTCTCTCACTCTCTCCCTCTCTCGTTTCTTTGGATCCTTTCAGGTGTAGAATTACTTCTCCTAAACCCCTCACCCCCAACCCCCCCCACCCCCATTACCCCCTGGAACAATATTATTCCTGCAATTAACTTTCCTGGTGTTCCTGTCCCGCTGGCTCTCCAGCACGCAGCACATTCCCAGACGGAATGCCTCAGCTCCCCCCAGTCCACTTCAGGGTAATAGCTTCAGTAATTGAGTCTAATGGCTCTCGTTCATTAACTTCATTAGGGCACTTAACTACAGTCCCACTGGGACAGGCTTGGGCACGATCAGTGTGTGTGTGTGTGTGTGTGTGTGTGTGTGTGTGTGTGTGTCAGTGCATGACTACATCGGTAGTACAAGTAGGGGGCTGCATCAGCATGCGCAGGCTGCAAAGGAACAAGTAAAGGTTTATTCACACTTGAAGAAGGCAACACAGCTGAGACATTGTGTTTCTTTTCTTCCCTTTTCAGCATGGGATAACCTTGACTTGTTCCTGATTACATCAGTGCCTGTGTATATCAGTGTGTGTGTGTGTGCATCTGTGTATGTCCGTGTCCGTGTCTTTGACAAGAGGAGAGTCCCTCTGTGCAGGTGCGAGTGTGTCAGTACTGAAGTGTGAAAGCTATTTCAATATTGAGAAATGGTCCTGATCTGACAGACGTGTGGGGCTGGTGTTCTCGTGTCAGATCTGTCATTGGATCTCCAGAGGTTCTGACAAATCACCCTTGTTGCTTTACAGGTTTGTATTGTGTTCCTTTTCCTTGCCTCCTTCTCTCTTTGTCCCACTCTCTTCTGTCTGTCTTCCTGTCTGTCTCCCCTCTGGCTGTCCCCCCTGCCCCCACTCACTCACGGTAACCGATACCTGACAGATGGCCCCATCTCAGGTTTGAATCCTCCGGCAACGAGCCGCAGAGCTGGTACAGCTGTAGCAGTATCGGTCACATGGGACCTTCAGGACTGCAGAAACACATGGAACATGCCATCACTTGAGCAGGCTGTTTGCCCAATCAACTCCACCCTTTTTAATCAAAGCCCTACAGCCAATCAGCACCACCCATTTAAACAATGATCACCACCTATACAGCCAATCAGCAACACCCATTTAAGCGAAGAGTCCTGCCCACGCAGCCAATAAACACCCCCCATTTAAACAAAGAGCACCACCAACCACTGTTGTGGCAGCGCTGTTGTGAGGCCTGCTGATGTTAGTGTTATGTGAGGTGTTGTGTTGTGTGAGCAGTTTTATAACAGTGCTTGCCTCAGGCTGACTGGAGTCAGTGTTGTGTGTGTGATATTGTGTTGCATGAGTATTGTAGCAGTGCTGGCCTGAGGCTGGCTGGCGTCAGTGTTGTGTGTGTGTGTGTAGTGTTGTGTGAGGCAGTGTTGTAGCTGTGCTGGCCTGAGGCTGGCTGGCATCAGTGTTGTGTGTGTGGGGTTATGTGAGGCACTGTCTTAGCAGTGCTGTGCTGAGGCTGGCTGGCGTCAGTGTTGTGTGTTGTGGTAGTGTTGTGTGAGGCAGTGTTGTAGCAGTGCTTTCCTGAGGTTGGCTGGCGTCGGTGTTGTGTGTTGTGGTAGTGTTGTAGCTGTGCTGGCCTGAGGTTGGCTGGTGTCAGTGTTGTGTGTGTATTGTTGTGTGAGGCAGTGTTGTAGCAGTGCTGTTCTGAGGCTGGTAGGTGTCGGTGTTGTGTGCAGTGTTGTTTTGTGTGAGTGTTGTAGCAGTGCTGTGCTGAGGCTGGCAGGCGTCAGTGTTGTGTGTGTGGTGTTGTGTGAGGCAGTGTTGTAGCAGTGCTGGCTGGCATCAGTGTTGTGTGTGTGTGAGGCAGTGTTCCGGCTGGTGTCAGTGTGGTTCAGGACCAGGTGGCTGAGGTCTGCCCCTCTCTTTCCTCTCTTTCTACTGTCCTTCTCCACTCCCAGAGCTCAAAGCTGTCTTGCACTGACAGGTTGAGCAGGTCTGGCTTCAGCTGTATTACATTACAGAAGAGACAGAAATCAGATAGTGTTATTGTCAGGCCCTCTGGCAAAACATCACACAATCCTTCTCTATCGCACAATTGTGCTCACCATATGACAAGCAAAGATACAGCTGTTCTATTTTGTTCTTACCAGATACCTCCTCAAAGTCTTGACAGAGTGAAGGAACTTAATCTCTTTATCCTTGAACAGAGACGACTATGAGGTGACCCGATTAAAGTATTCAAAATGATCAAAGCGACTGACAATGTTACACCGGTGGACTTTTTCAGGATCAACAGGGAAACATGAACATTATGATGACACACTCACA